TCATCTGGGCATCTTGGCAGGCAGGAAAAGCCTGGCTCTGCTCAGACCAATCTGCTCACTGCCCCTGCTCTTAATTGGTCCCCAGTTTCTGTTCCCACTGGGCCAGAGAAGATCACGGGTTGTGGTTGGGAATGCACTCACTTGATGTAGTATGGCACTTTGTTGGGGGAAATGGCTCGCTCCCAGGGGACCTGTACAGACGCTGCAAGGAGAGAGACAGAAATGTCAGATCAACACCAAACACTCCTTTAGGTTGCTGCTGTTTCTGATGAGAGCCCAGCGGGTGGGTGCCTCTGAAGAGGCTGTGCCTTCCTAAATCACCAGCTGGGGGTGTTGGAATGGGCAAGTGGATACTGCCTATAAGAGAGGCACAAGATTGCTGGTCTTGTCAGAGGCGTCTTGCCTCTCTTGAGACAGGGACTCTGAATCTGGCTGAGCTCAGAACTCAGGAAAAGGCACTTCCTGATGCTTTTGATGATGTGCAAGGCAACCCTGTAGTCACCAGTGGGCAGGGCTCCTAGCAGCAAGGATTTGGGCATACACAGAATACTGCCTGTTATGGCCAGGCTTGGGCACCCACAACATCTGCTGTTCCCATTACTCATGCTCTATGTGTCAGCTATAGTATCTTGGGAAGATGAGGATGCATCCCATACCAATTGCCTGCCACCCTGTGTTTGTCATCTAGAGGATGAAAGCCCTTTTACGACCCTCAGCTATCTTCTCTTGTCACAGGCAGCAACTGGAAAAGTTGCTCTTCCTTTCAGATAGGAGGGCATGGTCTGCAGAGAAACACAGACCAACAAACCCCACTGACGTATGGAGACTCTGCAGGGCTCAGCATTTCCGAGGACAGACCCCATATTTTGGAGCACAACCTGCTGCCCATCCTTTGCAGGTCTGAGAGCTGTCAGCCAGCAACAGCTCAGCTGTGTAGGAACAGCATTCATCTGCCTTGCCATGTGAATGCAAACCTCCTTAATTTGCACATTTTTGGCCTCTGAATGACTAACATGGGATATGGAGGATTGCCTTTTTCAGCTATCTGTTGTCTCCGAGGCTGGCATAGTCCCAGTATCACCTGGAGCTGCTGCTGTGAGTGTCACAGCTCCATGCTCTGAAGGGGAACCACACTCATGTACCACCCTTGGTCCCACAAAGTGAGGTAGCACAACGCTAACTTTGGGAGATGCCTTCTGCTCTGGTTCCTGTGCACCAGGCCTGGGCCCTTTTCTAGCTGTATGCCTGGCTCTGGGCTCAGCAACAGGACTCTGCACTCCATTCTCCTGTGCCACTGGAGACTGCAGAGGCAGTCTCATGGCAGGAAGCCAGGAGGACCTGCTCACGTACAGGAGAGGAAGTGCTGGGAGCCTGGTCCAAAGTCCCGGTGGGCGTCTTGGAGCTGCTTCAGGCGTTCGTTTATGGAGGCCTGGAGAATGGGACAGAAGAATTCAGTGGCAGCCCATCAGGCATTTCAGATTGAAGCCCCATTCAGGAAGGCTTGTGGACAGACTCAGGCATGCTCCAGCATGCAGATCCTTTTCCTTCCTCACCTGCCTTGGTATTTGTATTCCCCAGTCTACTCGCCCTCTACACCTCCTCCCACAGGCTGAGGTAACATAGGCCACATCTCCAGCTCACCTGTATCCATATTTTCAGAGACACCAAAGCAGCCACAGCTGGTACTGACCCCCCCCATCAGATACTGATTCCCCTCAGACAGCATCCTTTGTTCCTCCCATTGCCTCTTCCAGCTCAAGACCTCTGCAGATTTACCAGCCACTTTCCTCACACTGAACAGTTGCTCTCCTCCTCCAGGAACACCAGTTATACCATCCCTGCTATGCCAAGCCTTACTTTATCATCCTTGAAGCTCAGCAGTGACAGCCCTTCCCCAGCATCCTCCCACCTGTGGTTTATTTGCAGTGCTTGGTCCTGACTCCTTCCCACCTGCAGCTGCTTCCAGCGCATGTTGATCTGCTCCAGCGTACGGGAGTTCTCCATGGACAAGTGGACATCTGAGATCGCAAGCTGGTGCGCAAGATCGTTGACCAGTTTCACCCCATCCTTCATAGGGGAGAGCTCCTCTTTGAACAGCTGGAGTCCCGTACCCAGGGGAACAGGCACAGGGCAGTGGAAGAAGGAAAAGCAGCAGGTAAGTGGTCATGACGAATCTGATTCCTCTGATACAAGCTAGGATGGGCTAGTAGCTGGCAAGACACTGCTGACTAACCCTTCCACAGGGTACCTTAGCTAGGAAAAAAAAAAACCGAAACAAACCAGCCAGGCTGGAGATTGCACAAATCCCACTGAGAAGTGGGATGTGGACAATGGCTCATCTATGCTGAGCCACTGTACCTGTGTAAGGTCTGTGCCATGACAAGGTGCTCAGCACAGCCAATTGCTCAGGGCACAGCAGCCTAAATCCACCCTCACAAGCTAGGGAGTTGTTGGAGGGAGAACCTGGACCCTGAGACCCCAAGTGACAAGGAGCAGCACTACCCTCTTGGGAAGCAGTGTCTCATCACCTCTGGGGCCAAGGCTAGAGCCTGCTCAGAGCCAGAAGTACCTTGGTTGACTGGATATGCTCTGGCAAGGAGTCAATGAAGAGGTCCCCAATGGGTTCCCAGGTTTCGCGCATGCTTTCAGCCTGGTCCAGTGTTGTGCTGAGCTCCTCCATGGCCCCTTTAATCTCTAGCAGCTGCTCCAATGTCCGTTCAATGTGACGGTGCTGATCCACACACCGAGCCGTGAGCTTCTCCCATAGCTCACTGGCCACGTTTGCCTGCTTCCAGACAAAGCGGCTGATGTTTTGGATCCGGTGCCGGGGAGAGACATCTGTGGAGGCAAAGCAAAAGGGGAATGGAGAACAAAAATGAGAGCCCAGCCCAGAGGAGAGTGGGCAAGAGATGGCAGGAGGGCAGGGAAAAATGAGATAAAAATGTCTAGAGAAAAACTGGAAAGAGGGAGGGAAACCAAGCAGTAATAATGTCCATCTCTGCACCAGCTCCTCTAGATATCCAGCCTGCCCACAGACTTCTTTCTGCTCTCTGTACTCACAGGCAGAAACCTACTGCCCTTTAAAAACCTACCCCAGAGCACATCAGATACTGTCTCGTGAGATGCACTCCATCATGGGCTGCACCAGCAGCCTCTGCCTTCATCTGGTGCAAAACTGCACCAGTCTGACCTCTGGCCAAAGGACTGGAAACAGCCTGGTGCATGATGGCATGAGGCAGAGCACTGACGTGCCGCTTTGTGCCACACTGACCACCTCCACTCCATCCTCTCCAGTCCAGCCTAGGAGGAGCTGTGCTATGGGAGAATGAGGAAGGGAGACCTCCACGGACCTTTGCTTTCTGAAGTTGGTTCTTCTAATTCCTCAAATGGATGCTGGGAAAGGAAGGCCTGTGCTGACTCCAGGACAGAGTAAACGTATGGTCCCCGAGACTTCACTTCTTCCATGAAAGCCTGGAGAGCAGAGCACAGAGATGAGACAGCAGGCTGAGCTGGAGAATTGTCCCCCTGCTGCCCCCTTCACCAAGGGCTGTAGTGATTTATTCACTCCAGTGCCCAAAACTCACTGGAGACACAGAGAGAAGTTAACAAATATTTTTGCAGTTCAGGGAAGGAATGACCACCTGCAAGAAGGTGGCTTCTGCAGAGGTCTGGACTGCAGCTTTGCTGGAGAAGGGAGGCAGAACAATGAGCCCAGAAGGGTGTGTTGAGCCAGGGCTGCGCAAGACGAACTGCTTTATTGATGATGCTTTCACAGGCACTGCTTGGAGATGCAGTGAGAGCATGGTCATGCAAACAGTCCTTCCAGCAGCTGTTCAGCAACAGGTCCAGCTGCTGGAGGAGCAAGGAGGGGAACAGCAGGATGCCCCAAAGAGGCATATCTGCCAGGGCAAACTTCGGAGGCAGGCTGGTTTAGGATGTCTTCTCCTCCCCTCCAACTGCAGCACCCCACTGGTGCTGTATGCTGAATCAGATATTTGTGCACTGGGGAAGTGGCTAGCTCTAGCGAGGATGAGGGATAGCAACAGTAAGCAACAGTTTAGTTTTTTAGTTTCAAGGTAAAATCAAGTAAAGCCCAACAGCTACTGGCAGCGAGATGGAAATGCTCTGATCAGGGAAGCAGGAAACTCTGACCTGTCTGGGTGTACCTCAGTTTCAGATATGTTAATGTGCTATGGCAGGAATCACTCATGTCACAACCACCAACGGACCTCCTCAGGCCCCAGGATTCCAAAAGCAGAGGCCAGTGAGAGACAATTCCCTCTGTTGCAGAGGTAGGACATAAGGAGGAAACTAGAAGAGAAGTGATGGGGCCTGCTACCAGCTGCAGCACCTGCAGATGACTTGAGCCTGTAATGCAGATTTATTGTCTAAAACCAGATGGGCTCTACCTGTCGTGCGCGATGGGTGTTTGCTACAGGATTGGGGCTCTGCATTTCCACGGGAAGCAGAGATGGAGATGGACAAGGACTGGTTCACTCATAGGCTGTGGGCAGGGACAGTGACACAAAGCAGGGGTCCAGGGCAGGGCTCCCCACCTGCAGCTCAACTTAGCAGTGAACAGTGGCAGAGACGCACAAGGCAACATACCGTGTGCATCTCCTTTTCCTGCTGCACCAGGAGGACATCGCCCCGCAGGGGCAGCTGCGCTGAGAGCTCCTCATCCTTCTGCCCGAGCCAGTCTATGATCTCCTGGAGAGGCACCTGCAGCTTCCCACTGTGGTCGGAAAAGGCCTCCAGTCGAGCCCTGGCAGGGGAGCAAGAAGAGCAGGATGGTGATCAGATAGACAAGAGAGGAACAGGTTCCCCAGGGAGGGGAGGCACAGCATTGCACCACCCACAGGACCCCATCAGTGAGTGGAAACACACCTCAGCACGGGCTGTGCATGACAGGTTGGATGAAGCACGGAGGCATTAGGGAGAGTCTATTCATCAGCTCAGAGGTGAGGACAGAGTCGCTCCACATTTGTCTGTGGGTCAGGGCTGTGCTCTGGCTAGCATGGGGGGCTTGGCTCAGCATTTACATGGCTGGGCAGCTTCCAGGAGCCTTGCATTAAGGCAGGCAATAACTAACATGCTCCAGTTAAGCTCTCTGTCATGCTGGCTGTGGAGCTGCAACCTCTGAAAGTCTGGAAGGTGTGTTCCCCCCGTGCGGTGGAGAGGGCTCAACACAAAGGGACAAGTACAGAGGAGGTGGTGGCAAGGCTGTGGGGCAAAAAGAGACAAGCCGCTGTGACAGGAGTGGCAGAGGATGGAGAAAGCATCAGAAAGCAAGCAGGAGTGAAGGAAGGGAGGGAGAAGAGGATGGGATAGGTGGAAATGGAGGGAGTGTAGGGAGAAAGACTCAGAGGCCTGTGGACTAGAGGGGAAACCGAGACAAGATCACCATGAATTCATGTGGCTCATCAAGCGAACAAGTTCAAAAACATCCTGACAAGCACATGCAGCAGGCAAGGCTGGAAGGCCAGGCCAGCCCTGGAGCTTACTCCAGGCAGGGACTCTTACCGAAGGCTGTGGGATTTCTTTTTGATCTCATTCCAGCAAAGATTCATCTCCAAAGGGGCCTGGGGCCTGGCGGCACCGCTCAGAGCCCGGGGGGTTACACACGAAGGTCCTGCGCCATCCTGTGAGGCTTCAACCTGGGCAGAAACAGAATCACACTGCATCCAGAGATCACTGCCCATTGCGTACGGCACTTGCCTGGGGACACCTACCGCCCTCTGTCCTGACCCTGCCTGGCTTTTCAACTTGCAAGGAGGCTGCCCTGCTCCAGGAGGGATCTGTTAGCAGCTCCAGGGAAGCTCGTGGCAATGTCTGGAGGAAGGATGCACTGCCAGCTCCAGCAGCACTAAGAGCAAAGGCTGAAGGAAGGGCTTACTGCACACCTCCTGTTCTGCAGCATCTCTGTGATCCTCAGTTACTCAGCAACAAACTTATCTACTGCTAGGTATTAAATCAGAGATGGCCCTGATGTTTCACAGTACCTGCAGGGCTAACAGCTATTTCTTTCCATGTCATACATGACTGGTGTGCTTTGAGAAGAGGCAAATACCATGGGTCCTGTTGTTCCTAGGGACCAAGGGGAACCACCAACCTCCTTTACACCATCTCCAGTACTGGCAGCTCCATCTGCTTCTCTACAGAAGCACAAGGGTATTTCCTTGCCTGCACAGCAAATCTGAGATGCTCCTTCTCCTCCAGAGGTGCTGCTTCTCCTCTGCACCTCTCCAGAAAATCAGTGGTGGGAAGGATGCTCTGAGAGGCCGTGGAGCAGATGACAGCAAAACCTAACCCAGCCACACAAAGGAAGCACACTTTGCACCATGCCACTCAGCCTGGAAAACCAGGTGCTGATCCCTGGACAACAAATGCTTGGTGGATGTGGAAAGGAATCCCCTCCTAAGCCTTTCACCACTGTATCATGCTCCTGCTCATGATGGCAGCAAAGACATTGTTGTACTTGCTGGTGACAGCAACACACACTAGCAGGACTGGAAGCATCTCACACAGGACTCAGTGAGCAAGAGAGGATTTCCTCTCTGAAAAACATAGTTTGTTGTACAAAACCCATGGACACATTGCATTTCACAAGTGAGACGTTGATGTGCTTTGTTGGGGAAATGGCAGCATTTCAATCTAATGCTACTTTGGTATTAGAGATTATTTGTGATAATTATCCCCAGGTGATTAATCAACCATAATTAACTGCATTAGCACTTTCTAAACAGCACATACAACAGGCACCCCTTTGCCAGAGAAGGGCAGCAACCTCTGGGGGAAGGCAGCAGCTCTTCCAAGGGGAATGTGCAGATACTTGTCACTTGTCCTGTCCAAGGGCTCCCAGAGGTGTCCAGGGAACAGATCCAGCCAAGCCAAGGAGACCAACCGGCAGGAGGAAACCACCAGACAAGCAATTTGGCCACACAGCTAAAACAATACCCCTTCCACACCAGTTCTCGGAGAAAAATCAAAAGATTGCCAAAATTGGTGTTAAGCGTGCTTCATCTAAAAACATCTAACACCAGGCTGTTCTCTATCTTCCCATCCTGCCACTCCAGCAGCATCAAGAAAACAGAGGAAACCATCACCCCCAGAGTTCACAGAAATCTTGGGGCCATAATAATAAACCACTTGAGCTAAAACTGCTGCTTGCACATAAGGAAAAAAAAAAAAAAAATCAATGCTCTGTACATGCACATCCTCATGACACTGAAGTACATTAGCCCCACAGCACTGCCAGGGAACATTCCAGCCCTTCCCTCTATCCCAGGGGATACCAAAGGAAGGGATCAGCTGTATCGGAGCACAAGTGCAACTGCAGCACAGCCCAGCAGACAACACAGCCTTTTTTAAGAAGTTAAAAGCCCACCAAGCCTGTGACTCACAGACCATGCTCAGTAGATGAGCCAGTGCCAGTGGCCAAGCAGGGGACAGGTGTTGAACATCTGCTCCCCTAGGACAAAACCCCTGCAAGCGAGCAGAGGGTAAAAGCAGTGCTTTCCCTCTGAGCATCCCCTAAGCATCCCACCCCCAGCAACAGCAGCCTGGATCCACATTCTCCCTCCACCCTTGAACAGCTTTATTTTCAGGCACAAAACACTCACGCAGTCTCTGGTGAAGCGCATCTACCTGTGCTTAGCCACAGATCTGCCGCAGGGCCACTCAGCTCTGCAGAAGGAGCAGGCATCGCCTCCCACCCCTCCGGGTGCCGCCAGGCAGCACCCGGCAGGGAAGCAGGCAAGTGCTGTGTGCTTAGCAGAGCAGGCCACCCTGAGCACTGACCCCCCAGGAATCTGGAAGGGGGTGGCAGTGCCTCACAGCCAGCCTCAATCCCAGCTTTGTCTGGTGGCATTCCAGCAGCCTCCAACCTGCCTTAACTCCTGTGGTGCCATCGTGGCTGCCCGCAAAGCACAAAGGGGGTAGACATCTGCCTGCTGCAGGGCACCCCAGCATGGGAAAGCCACCTGAGGGAAGTTCGTCATTGCTCTGGGCACTGGGGATAATCATCCCTGCAAGTGCATGGCAAAAGCCATGGTGGGCTGGGCTGGGGTGACCAGCAGAGACCTTGTCCTCAGATGCTGGAGCAGATGCAGAGCAGACAGAGGTACTTGCCAGGGAAGAGATTTACCCAGAAAATAGTCCCAGTAAGCTTTGTCTACCCAGGAGGTAAGTAGTGAGGTCCTTGAGACCTAATTCCTCAATAAGCTAAAGATGCCCTCCTTGCCCCTCCATGTGCCCCCAGCCCAGCACTGGGCATCAGCACAGCTGTTCCTGCCCGCCTGGACTGGGTGCAAATAGTTTGTTTTTGCCAGAAGGCTCTGGGCTGGCTCCTTGTGCCCCCCACAGTCCTGCCACCCAGCATTGTTTCCATGCTCTCCTCCACCTACAGGGAGGGAATGAAAAGCTCCCTGTATCTCACCCTCTCTTCCCCTCCTTCCCTGCCTGCACATCGGACTGCTGCTGTCTCTCCCTCTGGGACCAACAGGCCAGCCTCCTCTGCCCACCACCTCCTAGGCCTGACAGATGCAGGACCAGGTCCCAGGCTGGAGGAGGAGGCTTCAGCAGGGCCAGGGTACAACTAAGGATGGGTTGTTGGCAGTCTGCGGGAGCTTTCAGGACAAGCAAGGACAAGAGAGGAAGGCTTTTTCCTAAATGGCAACACCTACACCTGTGAGGAGGAGGGCATGGCCAACCCTTTGAACAAGGCAGGCTGTCATTAATGTTGCAGGAGCCAGTAGCCAGTTGGTGCGTGGCACCCAACGCACTGATGTCCACACAGCAGAAAGCCAGGCTCAGGCAGGGACTAGGGGAAACCTGTAGTGAATATGACCTGAGCTGAGGACATTGCACCCTCCCCGTGTGCCGTGTTGCAGCTCAGTGGTGGTGGGTCCCACAGGGCATTCTGCCCCAGCTCCCCACCCCACAGGGTTCTGATACCCTCATAGAGGCTTGGACTACTCAGGCAGCTAAGGAGGGCCTTTGCCTGCTCTTGTTGTTCTATCCCCCACCCTTCTCGCTTCATCTGCTGGGCTGTTCATTAACCACCCATGTTCTGGCCCAGTAGCAGCTACGTAACAGCCACCCCATGGCCAATAAGCCCTGACTCAGCTACCAAGAGCCTGCCCCAGCCACAAGTCTCATCTTTGCATGCTGGAGCTGCTCCTGAGACAGCTCTGCCTCCTTCCTGCAGACCCCAGCTCTCTGGGGCAGGATGGCAAGCCACACAGGGAGCAGCCCCAGGCTCAGCCTTTGTTCTTCATGTTTGAAGCATGATGAAGAATGAAAAGGCAGAGCCAGGGACTTCATTCATCCTGGGAGCAACGCTGCCAGCACCCAAGGAAAACTTTGGCACCGTCCATCAGTCTCGTCAGGTGAGAGGTACCCTGGGGCCGACTACTACAGGCAGCAAAGGGGAAGCCATGCTCTAGCAGAACTGAGGCAGCATTTCCCTGGTCCTGCTGTCCTGGGTGACCCAGGACAAGGTGCTAAACCAGCTTGTGACAGCTTGGTGCAGAGCACAGACAGCTTTGCAGACAGTCGCCAGTGCACCTTTCTGTCCTCCTCCACTCTGCCCTTTTACCCAGGCATCCCAGAGACCTTCACCTCTCTGCCCCACTTTGGTGAGGAGCCTGACCTGCCAGCTCACAGACCGTGGGGGGAGGAGGAGGGAGTCCAGCAGTGTGAGCACCCACTCTCTGTTCCTCAAGATAACTAGACTAGAAAGAGGTCGGACTCCTCCTCTGCCTTACAGCATTCACCAGAGGCTTATTTCCAAGCTCTTCTCTGCAACCAGGAAGGTTAGAAACCTACATTTCCAGCAAAAGCTGACATTCTTCCAAGTTTCCAGGAAAAAAGTAACCCAACCAAATATACAAGAGCTGTTAACAGTGGCCTCTTCCTCTTTATTTTGAAGGAAGCTTGAAATCTAGCTCTGCAGGTCATCTCTCTTGCTCTACTTTGGGAAACACTTTGCAGCCAAAATGCTTGATGAAAGCTAACACTCTCAGTAACTGCAAGCCGATGGGGGGCTGGAGCTAACAGCTTTCTCTGCCATCAGGAACAGAGGTCCTGGTTTGCTCCACAGACATTTGCAACCACTGCAAAAAGCTGCCATGAGAAAGGCTCCCAGACCCAGCTCTTACCTGAGACAGTGGGTGGGCAACGCTGCTGTGCTGCGCCTGGTCTGTGACATGCCACTCAGAACATCGTGGGAGGACATAGGGCCATTCTTGCATCACCAGGGGCTGCATCAGAACTGATGTTCATGGGGATGAAGACAACTCCGGGCACGAGCACCTGAAAAGCAGTGTGAGAGTCCCTGGGTCAGCTTGCACCTCCTCATGGAGCTGACCCCCTTCCCAGCTGCCTAGTGTGCTGCCTTCACGAAGGCTGAAGACTAAAAAGATGCATTTTTTTAAACATATTTGTACTAATGTTGCAATCTGTTTTCATCTAAATGTCCAACTTTTTTCTTTCCATCTAATTATACAATTTGCTGTAATGATATCCTGTGACAATGAGTGCCATAGATTATGTCGCATTTTTTAAAAGTGTTGGGTTTCTGGAACTACAGGAGATGCCCAGGGTTTAAAGGAAGAGAGGAGAGAGATCTCACTGTTATGTTCACTTATGTTTAGACGTAATAGACATATCCCTATACCAGACAATATTTTCAAACATATTATTTTTTCCTTTTATGTTCAGAAGGAAAATTGCCTAAAGGCTCAGTCCCCCATACATGCAATCATACTACCAGCTACCTTTTTATGAGTTTTTACTCATTATAGGTTGTAAAACTCCCTTTTTTATTCTGTTTTTAAAACTGTACGACCCGTAAAAGCCAGTTAGCAGTGACCCCTTGTCTATTCTACAGATCTGAAATGCAACCTTTCCTCACAACACTGCTTTTTTTGTTGTTTGGGCTCTGAATAAGCTAAAACAGCAATTTATTCCATTGCCAGCATCACCTCGGCTTTACAGAAAGCCATGAGAAAATAAAGCCTAGAGAAAATGGTGAAAGGTAATATTTACGTGAATCTGATAAATTTCTAAAATTGAAGCACAATTCTACATTTGGTCAGTGGCAGTGCCATGAAAAGAGCTGAGTACCAACATGTTCACAGCAGGATGTGCTTAACGCACAAAGGCTGTGAACATTACGCAGGGCTTTGTCCAGACCAGACTCAGCACATCTGAGGTCAGATGAGCAAATGAAGAGTGATGCTTGAATACTGCCTGTGATGGGTCAAGAGGCAGCACTGAGGACAGGTCTCCTGTCCAACCCACTGCCTAACTCGATGATTGCCTTCCTACTTTTAGAAGGAAACTATCACCTAGCTACATCAGCCAGACCTCATGTCCAAGTAGAGATGGGGCTGCTTCTAAGTTACAGACAGAGCAACACTGCTAGAAGAAGGTTGTTGGCTCCTTCACACCCAGCTCACTTGGACCAGCTGAGAAATTTCCTGTTTGGTCCTGGCAGGGCAAGCAGCAGGCAGTGCATCCTGCACAACCAGCAATCACACTGGACATCCAGGCGAGGAGAAAGCCCCTAGGCCCTGGTACACGCCGCACATCTCTCACAGTTTCACATCACTTACTCCCTTGCCTGAGCTTTCACTGCCTCTCCCTCCTCCATATGAGAACAGCTTATCCTGTTACGATTTTTTTAATCCCTTAGCAATTTCTACAGCCACAATTCTCTCCCTCTCTAGCAGAACAGACTGTGCTGAGCTCTCCAACATGCCGATAATCCAAGGTACTGTCCTCTACCCCTCCTGTTCATTTGCACAGACTGTGCATTGCAACACCCTCGCCCTGCTCCTTTCCCCATGCAGGCAAGGTTATCAGGACACATTAAGAGTTATAAATTCCAGGGTCTTCAAAGCCCCCCAGCCTTGCGGGGCAAATTCACCATATGCAGCTCCAGGGGTACAATGGATGATTTCTGTCTTTGACAGCAGATAACATCACATCCCGTTCCTCCAATGCTTGTGCTATTTGGGGTCTGAGCTGTTCATGATCCTCTAAATGACCTCTAGATAAGGCTTAATCTAGCAGAGATACAATTCTCAGGGCATGAAAAGTTATTTTGCCTCAAAACCTCCATCAGAGGAACACCATTGAGCTTTACCACATGATTGGGAAATCCATGGCTTTTGCCAGTGAGGTTCTGTGACATCTCATTACAGCTGCCATCCTGAGGCCTCAGTTTTTCTGCAGCTCAGTGCAATGTAATTGCAGTGATGTGTGCGGGCCAGGCAGGTTCAGCCAGCCCTCCAACACCACACATAGGGGCCCTCTGTTCCCAGTCTTTCCAGCACAGCCTGGTCTCTTGTTCCTCCCACCAGCGAGCACTATGGAACAGGAGCAATACTGGGAAGGTCACTAGCTCTGATCTTACTGTATTTTGCACAAGGATAAGTCTCTATGCACAGGGCAGGTGCAGTTCTGGAGACAGAGATGGGTAAACCATGTCCTATGGGTACCCAAGTGTAGGATGTGGTGGGTCTCATGCTCTCTGCCAACATTATGGAAATAAGAACAGCCCTTGCCTCACCTCCTCAGTGCCAGGCTCCTGAACTCTTTCAGTGATGACAAGGTCCAGTCAGGACATAGAGCCATGGCACAAGGGAACTAAAGCCTGTCCAAGGCAGCAAAGAACAAGACCGAGCCAGAAAGTGAAGTGCCAGCAAAGGCCACTATCTCAAGCACGTCCTGTGCAATACCTTGCTGACAGAGAAACCTTACTGCAGGTTTGATAGCAATGGTTTAGTTGCTCTTTGCCACTCTGCAATAGCAAAGACAAAGTCCAGATGTGGAGAACCCAAGATAATGTAGCAATAACTCAGTTGCACGGCAGCCAACACAAAGGAGGACATTCAGTGGAAAGAGAGACAAAACCAGATGGTGAGGCATGACTGCAAGCAAACCAACAGCTACATATGATCCCTTGCCAAATTCTCTGCTATTATAGGAACCAGCCAAGGAAAAATGCTCTTGATCTGCTCTGCTCCTCTGCTGTGGCACACAAAATAGCTTTGACTCTTGCACTTTTACTTTAGTGCTTCAGTATGGCACTGTGTCTGCACACCACAGCTTGTGGAGATGTTTTGTGGATGCTTCCTAGCTAAATGTCTCTTGCCTGCTGCCTACACCTGTCAAGTACCGAACCTGTGATCCACCTTGCCTCTCCCACACCATCATTCACCCTCTGCACCCTCCAGGTTGGTGCTGGAGATGCAGCATGCTACAGCCAAGGGACAACATAAATTAAAAAATGTTTAAGTGGTGGCAACTAAAACCACCATCCCCGCAGCCTATTATAAGCCTCTACTTGAAAAAGAGTTGGAAAATCCTCCTTTGGAGGACTCAGGGAGCAATACGGTCAGGCAGTCCAACCAGATTTAAAGGGTTGATCCCCTGGGCACATTTCTGTGCAAGAAGGAGAAACATCAAGGCTCACGAGAGCAGAAGCGGGTGAGAATTTCCACTAGAGAACATCGCAAGAAGCAGTCTTACAGTCACCACGGAACAGGCATTCAAGCACTGCACCCATACAGTGGAGACAGCAAGGAGTGAAACATTGCCCACTGGTGTGTCTCACCTGGTCTTTGCTGGGGGTCCCCACTCCAGGCCCAAAGTCAATCAGACCCTTCCTCAGAAGGATCAGGTACAACCTCATTACATGACGCTGTTTTGCATTCTCCCACATGAAAAGCACCCAACACTTGCCTCTGCTCTTAGTACACCTTAAGAAACAAAGCATTAGACGTTTCACAGTGCTGTGTTACAGCTTCTAAACACTTTAGTAACCAAGCCGTGACCGTTTAGCCTAGTTGGAGGCCATGATGATCCTCTAGTTGAAAAAGCAGAAAGCTGAAAATCTTGATGTTACATTTCAACAGTTGAATGCTTGGGCATTAGGGTGTATTCAAAACAAAGGAGTTGCCTTTTTTCTCTTCCTACATGAGCTGTTACAAATCAAGCACTGAAGAGCCTGGCTCACCACACTGCTTTCCAGGCAGTCTGACAAAGGCAGCTGGAATGGCCTTTGCTCAACCAGTTCTGCTTCAGCTCTGCCACAAAACTTACTGCTCTGCTCAGTGATCTCTGCACTTTTCCTACTTACTGACCTGTTGCAGCAGCAACACTGGCTGGCCAGAGAAGCAGTGCCTGGGTGCACAGGCCCGATGCCGCCCATCTCCTGCAGCATCTCTTCTCCATCCCAGCCAACAGTAAGACAACAGCTTGTCATCAGTACACATGCTGCACAGTGCATTTCTGCCATTTGGTTGCATTTCTTTAAAATCTTCCTGATACAGACCCAGATCCAAACTCTCCCAAACATCAAGGGAATTCACACTGCAGCTGACCTGCATTGCTAAAAGTAACTCCCAGGATTAGGGGCCTGCCACAGAACCTAGAGTCCTATGATGTCAGACGTTGAATTTCCAGCTCTCTACCACATATAGCAGCAGCAAATACAGCATATAGGTCAAGAGGTCTCTCGATCACAAGGCTTATGCTTTGAATTGCTAATTTCCTGCAAATCATTCTTTCCAGGTTGCACCTTTCCACTTCAGATCTTGGCCTATAAGGAAAAAAAAAGATATGGAGGCAAGGCAGCTCAGCCTTTATCCCATGAGGGGAATGGAAATACAAGCACGTTCCCCGATGCTGGAAATGTTAATGACTTTGTTGTTGCTTAACTTCCTGTACAAGAGAAGTAATAACATTTTAGCTCAGCATGCTCAGTGTCCTTTAAGGGGAAAGGTGGGAGGCTTGTGGATATTTCAAAGTTCAGCTCCCATGTATATGCTAACAAAGGGAGCATTCCCAAGCTGGCAGACAGCAGGACTCCCTCAACAGCACAACAGCACATCCTGTTCCAGCAAAAATTGTTTTCTGCACATGTAAGTAAATAGTTTAAGCCTGAGTTTGAGGGTCAGCAGACCTACTTCCCAAGACCCCACTAGGTCAAAGTTTGGTGAGAGAGAAGGAAGAGAAGTCTTTGTCCCACTGGAACCAAGCATACAAACAGCACGACTCCCTCTTAGAGCATGGGCCCTTAGCCTCCATCTCTTTACAAACCAGGCATAGATACCCAAACACACTCCTGAAAAAAAATCACCCCAACAGTGCCCTAGTTCTCACTTGCCTCTGTGTACAAGGAAAGGGGGAAAGGCCTATCAGCAATCTTCCACATGAGCAGGCATTTACAATCCCATCATCCAAGGGCTAAAAAACC